TGGACTACATAAGGAAACATAATTGTGGACTAGGGGTCTTCTCTTACACAAACAAATAGATTTATCAACATGAACTGCACAATTTGGAGAAGAAAAAAAATCTCTAATATATTAAAAGAATTAATAGGGGTCAGGCGCGTACGCAGGGGGGGGGGGGGGGTAACCCCCCCCCCCATCCCCTTGAGCTTTTTTAATATGTATGCTTTTCTGGAACCCCCCCCCCTTTTGAGTATTGATTTTTTTTTAAATTAAATTTAAAAAAAAATCCTAATGGATGACCTAAAAAAGATGCCCCCCCCCCGAAAAAAGGTCCTCTTACCCCCCCCCCCTTGAAAAAATTCTGCGTACGCCACTGATAGCTAGGGTCTAGATCTAGATCTAGTAGGCCTAGGTCTAGACTCTACTACTAGTATAATGACAACTTGACAAGCACGCTGGACCCACACAAAATCTAAATATTAAATAAACAAATTATAGTATTGATGTTTTTTAAATATATTTTATTAATAAGTTTCAGGTTTACATCTAAATGAATAGGATTTGGAGTTGTTTGACATCAATGGTCACAGATAATTTTGGTCTAGGCCCTAAATAAAGTTGACACTCACCGCGTATGCAACTGAGCGAACGGATGGAACCGATAATAAGTAAAGCCATCAGAGCAGAGGCGGCCCTCCCGGGGGGCAGGGGGGCACAGTGCCCCCCCACTTTTTCAGATACCCCAAAAGTGCCCTTTTTTTAAATAGGAAAAGTGCCCCTTTTACATAGGAAAAGTACCCCTTTTACTTTGACAAGTGCCCCTATTACTTAGTAAAAATGCCCCTTCCCCTCTTTTTACCTCTGACGAGTGCCCTTTTTATTTTTGCCACGTGCCCCTTTCCTTCGACATTTGTCCATTTTCCTTTGCAATAAGTGTCCATTTTCCATTCTCATAAATCTTGAAATTTATCTTGAATAAGTGCCCTTTTTAATCTCTAGTAAGTAGCTCTTTTCAGGTACGTGAAGTGCCCCTTTTCACTTTTTATAAGTGCCCCCTTCATCTCTGATAATTACCCTATTCAAAACTGAGAGGTGCTCCATTTACTTTGACAACTGCCCCTTTTTTCCTTTGTAAGAAGTGCCCTTTCTTTCAATAACTACCCCTTTTTTAAACTCGGATGAGCACACCTTTCATTTTAACATGTGCCCCTTTTATTTTCTAATAGGTGCCCCTTTTCCGTATGATAAATGCCCCCATTAAAGAGAGAGAGAGAGAGAGAGCTCCTTCTCCTTCTCATAACTACCCCTTTCCCTTTCTAATAAGTGCCCCTTTTCCTTATGATAAGTGCCCCCAATAAGAAGAAAGAGTTCCTTCCCCTTCTCATAACTGCCCCTTTTAAAAATCTGAACGGTGCCCCCTTTTCATTCAACAAATGCATATTTTCCTTTATTATAAGTGACCCTTTTACATTTTCATAAGTGACCCTTTTCGTATTTGGTCAGTGCCCCTTTTCCTTTCTTATAAGAGATCTATCCCCTTTTCACCTCTTATAAATGCCCCTATCAAAATCTGATGGGTGCCCCTTTTCCATCAACAAATGCCTATTTCCCATTTTCGTAAACGCCTCTTTTTCACCACTGGTGAGTGCCTCTTTTCAGGTAAAAAAATGCCTCATTTTCACCTCTTATAATTATCCTTTGTACTTTGACACGTGCTCCTTTTCTTTTTTGATAAGTGTCTTATCCCTTTCGATAATTGTCCCTTTTTCATGTAATCATTAAACGTGCCCCTTATTTAAAGCGACTAAGAGCAATTTCCCCCAAAGTTCGCTCGCTGCGCTCGCTCGCATTTAAAGAGGATATAATTATGTTATTTATCAAAGGTCTTTTCAGTCTTCCGTTATGAGAATGTGCTTATCATCACGATTGGCTTATTTTCTTCTTTATAAGATGTAATTTTTCGCACTGCGACCTAACAGATCTTTAATTTTTTTCTCGCTGTAAACTCACTGTAAAGTATGATGCTTAAGCGATATCTTGTATGATGTATGAAGAGAAACAAATATTGAAATCACCCCTGATAATGTAATCACAATGTAGAGGTATATATATATATTTTTCGCTTTGAGATTTCCCACTGTAGGTGCCCTTTTTTTCTTCAGAAAGTGCCCTTTTTTGTTGGTGCCCCCCCCCCCCACTTTGGAAGTCGCTCGGCCGCCCCTGCATCAGAGTCCACATCTACTAAAGATTTTAACAAGAATTAATCCACTTGGATTATCAAAAAAATCATGGTTCATAGATTATTTTAAGGTGTAACGTTAAATCTAGATTTAAATTAAATCGGTGATTGGTGAATTAGATTCATGATGACGATCAAATCTCAAATAAAACTTGATTAGAAAGTTTGATCTTGATGCAAATGAGCACCGAAATTCCCTGGGGTGGGCCTGCCGGAACCCCGGGGCCCTAACTGGAGTACTAGGGTGAAATGACGGCAAACCGCAGTCAAAATACTTCATGACGATGAAAATCAAAGTGCAATTTCAAGAGCAATATTTTACTAGTCTTTTCCCCAGAAATCTGTTGAGAACTGTCTCCAAATGTAACAAAATTACCGTTCATCACGAAGACTATTGTAGCTTTTTCAAAATTGATGACTAAATTCACTTTATCTACTCATATTTCAATCAATTACTCACCCATTCTCAATGAACTATAAACTCTTCTCAGTTTGTGCGAGTGTAGTAGCGTCGTGCATAAATCTGCATAATTAAAGTGACGCAATGAGGTCAAATATATTATCCGGTTTCTTAAACGATACTATCGATAAAATACATATTCATGAGGCACTTATCCAATCAAAAAGCCGCCTCGGGTGCTTATTTTGTCTTCAAATGATCCAAAAGAGGCGGAGCCTAATCCCATTCGTCTGCATGGTTTCCGCGCGTGCTGCTTTCCGTCTAGTAATTATATTTAAACGTCTTTGGCTCGGCCATCGCGCACTCATACCATTCCTAGTAGTTGTCTCTGATTTATACATTAAAATGGATTGAAAATGGCTTCGCGTGCTGGATGCTTCGCAGCAGCTCCATTAAACGGGCCCTTCTTTTACTTTTGCAATGCATTGGCACGAACTTAGATCAAGATCTATCGGCAGATGTTGTTTTTTGGAAGTTTATTTTCGTCTTCATGTCAACAATGCAAGATAAAATTGTCGGTAAGATCGATCGAGATTCAATCGTATTGAAATTACCGACCAATTCATCGCACACGTACGGTATCCGCAATCGCTCAAACCATTTTTAACATGTAAACCTACGGGTATTTCACCAAGACTGAACTATTTTACCGGTAACCATGGTTACTGGGATTTAAGAACTATTTTTTAGAACTATTACATGGGTTTGGAATTTTACCGGGAAGTTTACAGGAATAGATAAAGTTTATGAATGCAATTTCGACCAATCAGATGGCTGGATTTCTTAAGTGAGGTATATAATATTTGTTAGACGGAATTGCTCTCCTAGCTGTCAAATGGTTGACAGTGAACGTTTTACACCAAATAATAATACGATGCGTTTACTTCACTGAAACTCGATAAACGTGTTTAATCACAATGTTAATGAAATGTAGATATTATTATGGTCACAATCGAATATGTGGCTACAATGTGCCTACAATGTGCCTAGATCGTTCTATCTATAGTTAGTCAGTAGCAGTTCCAGATACAGGCCAGCACATGTTGCAATTAGCTAATTGTATGTGCCAGGCGCGTAGCCAGGGGGGCGGTGGGGGCGGTCGCCCCCCCCCCCCCCCCCCCCCCCCCCCCACAAAAAAAAAAAACAAAAAAAAACGCCGGCCCAAAAAAAAAGCAAAAAGGAAGAGGACGTAGGAAGAAAAAGGATTAAGAGTCGAGAACGGTACAACGAATTGTCTTCTTTCTCTAATAATTTATGAAACGTCAAAGCTTCCGCGCTTTGCGCGGGAGTGGGGGGGGGGGGAAATGAATTCAGACAAGGATTAAGAGTCGTTTGAGAATGGTACAACGAATCGTCTTCTTGAATAATAATCTAATGAAACGTCAGAGCTTCCGAGCGACGCGCGGGGAAGGGGAACTTGTTTCAAACAAGGTTTAAGAGTCGAGGACAGTACAACGAATCGTATTCTTTCTCTAATGAAACGTCAAAAGAAACTGAATTTAGATAAGGATTAAGAGTCGAGAACGGTCCAACGAATAGTCTTCTTTCTCTAATAATGAATTGAAACGTCAAAGCTTTTGCGCTTCGTGCGGGAGGGGGGAAACTTCCCCCTCCCTGCACCCACCCCCCTAGGGAGCGCGCTATGCGCGCTCTGTAAGTGATTCGCACGCTTCGCGTGCTCACTACCGCCCACCTAAAATGAAATCCTGGCTTCGCGCTTGTTATGTGCTCGTATTTGCGCAATTTGCGCCGGGCTTCAAGTTTTCAAATGATTGTTTTAAAGAAAATTGTTCTGTTGCGCGTATATACTCCACCTGGCGATACACTTACATTCGGATAGCAAAATTTAATTACGTTCTTTATCAAACCATAATTACATAAAGTGATCAAAAATGATTCAGTTTATAAGAAAAAAAGGCCATTCTTTATCAAGCTAAGAAAAGAATTACAAAAGATAAAATCTCATAACGTTTGAGAGGTTTATTTTGCCCTTGCGTTGTGCTATATAGGTACTGAAGCTGTGACGTCATAAAGATATAATTTTAGAATTTCTCAATGTTTCTTCATTTTCCGAAAGAGCATCAAAAATAGTGTCCAATTGTCGAAAACCAATTGAATATGTTAAGTATTGGCTGAGAAATGACCATCTGAATAAATATATTTCATATAGGAACTCATTGTTATTTGCTCTGGCTCCTAATGGTTAGGAGCCAGAGCAAACTGATAACACTGAGTTCCTATGGGAAATCTTTTACATAACATACTTAATATATTCAATTATGGCACTATCATTTGCCGGCAGCCGATAAGTTATAAACTTACCATATTGTTTTTCTTTTCGCTTAGCATTCCTCGTTCTAGAAATCCATCTCCAAAACGATTGAAGTAGAACGCAGAAACCATACGTGAAACAGGGTCTCGTATGAAATTGATATAAACAGGTTGCGGACTGCAAAAATAAGTCAAACGAAAACAAATTAAATCGAATGAAAATGAATTAACGAATTCTCAACTTAATCATAATATAATGCATGCAGCCCACCGCTCCGAGAATAATTTTATAATATTTTTGCCAATCTCAATATTCGGTTACCCCTGCCTCGTTTTCAGGCAGTTTGATGGACCTCATTTTTGTTGGCACAGAATGGACATCGCAAACCATGAAATCAGTTGTGAAATTCGCAACAAAATATACGACAATTAAGGCACATATTTCATCGAGAAGTGTGGATTTAGTTTGTAAAGTCGAAAGTTGATATGCGGACAAGAAAATTCGCCCCCCCCCCGAAATTGTGCCCATACGCCTAAATGAAGTACTATATTTACCTAGTAATAAATAAAAATATATTCAGTTATCAGTTATTTTAAATAGTAACATAGTTTAATGGCATGATGCGCGGATGGGGACAGGAGTGGGGGGGGGGGGGGAGAGGGGGGATTTAACTGTATGACTTACTTATGTAACTGATGATGAAATGGCAGGAAGAGGCCATGACCCTGAACATAAGCAGGCCTCTTGGCACCCTTGATCAGACGCCTTATCTCGCCGATACTTCGAGCTTTCTCCTGAATGGGAGAGGGAAAAAAAAGAAACTTTCAAGAATCTTAATTTTAATAGCCTGTTTTATGTCTTTTTTCATGGAAAAGCGGTTGGGAAAATTCTAAAATGGTTGGGAGAATTTACACAGTGACGCCTTCAAAGAAAACCATAGATATCTTCGTGGTTTGAGAATTTTGTCAAGAGTATTTGAATGTCAGATGGTTAGTACAGTAAAAGCAATATAATAAGTAACATTTTATACACAAATTAAGCAATTTTTTCATCAATCTTCAACAATGTTACCAAGTCACTTTAAGAAATCATACAATCCCCCTAAATATAATTATTGCAGAAAAGTTTGTATACAACCTATGCATACAATAAATCTATTTCGTCATCTATAACTAAGGCAATATAATATCTGTATAGAGCAAATTAGAAAGGAGCTCAGTGAGTGATGCCCGTTTGTGTTTTACTGATGACAACTTCAAACAATTATATTACTTTCCTATTTTCAATCGGATATTGCTCAAACTTTCACTTATTTGTTTCTCCCATTTTCAGCTTTTATTAAAACCAAGGTTGACTTCCCCTGTAGTGGAATTAAATCGAAAGTAATAAACGTCTTACTTTCGAAGATAGTTTATGTGAATCAGCCGAATCAACATTTGTTGGTGTTTCACACTTTTATTCCGCGTCAAAGAAATGAATGATATATTTCTTTTATTTATTGATTATTAATATTTCTAAGTTAAATACAAAAAAAAAAGACTTACACTTTCGGGTTTACTTTCTTTCCTTATACTGTAGCCATTAAATTTAATGGAGCGATTGCGGAAGAGGCGTCGGCTTGTATCTACGAACGTCCGACTGCCACATTTTGGTACGCTGTTGTATATAATTATGTGATTCTGAAATAGACAAACATTATATCACCTTCACGAAAATGAGCAAAATGCACATCATCATATTCAGAATCAATTATGTATGCCTTGGGGGGGGGGGGGCGGAATATATTTCCAATGGTATGGTATCATGTGTGTTTTCTTTATTGATACATAATTGCACACATCAGCTGGTAAAAACAATGAACTCACTGCACAAACACGATTACATAAGAGGTACATCGGCATTATATGAAAGGGGTCATCGTTCTTACATATTGGTGGATGGAATAAAGAAAAGTTTGCCCTTTATTAGAGTGGGAGAAAATTCTTGAGAAATTGAGAATTTCCTTTTCACGTTTCATTTTTATTCCTCCTATCCCCTTTTTGCTCATTTACTAAATTTCCTTATTTTTCCTTTTCTCCTTTCAATAGACCGGCTTACTTTCACATTCAAAGTTATCGATGTCTCTTTCCTATAGTATAGGGACATACTGGCGAGTTATTCCATTAACCTTTTATTAATGAATGAACTACAATACTCGGAGTCTAGTCTGCATACATTACTTGTTGCTATGTCGGGTAAGCTTCATGCAAGCTTTGCGGTTGTCAAGAACAACCTTATTTGAGAATTGTGCATACAATTTGAATATGTTAGTAAAGCCGGTCTATAATTAAGCCAGTTTAAAGTTGCAGTCTGAGCATGAGCAGATAAAGGTCATTACAGACCAAGTTGTGAAATACACCGAGACAAAATACTGGATACGTGCTTATGAAAATGATGTAATTATTATTCATTTATGCACAAGCGGTGCACTCCATGATACACAGGTGAACGTATTCTTTGAAAAGAGGAAAGAAATAATTAATGTAGCACCTCCATCGCTGTAGGAGTGATTATTAATTCAAAATGTACAAAGTGGAACCTTTTCAGGTTTTAAAGATTATGTGGATCATATTCCGGGTCATTTGGGACATGTGCTAACCGTGAACCGGTCTATTGGGGGATGCGTCCCTTGTGTCTCAAGAGGGGGGGGGGGGGGGGGGGGGGATGCGTCCCTTGTGTCTCAAGAGGGGGGGGGGGGGGGTCACAAACATTTTTTTTCAATGACAAAATAACAAAAATCAGTGACAAATCTGCTGATAACCAATCTGAAGCAAGGATTTCAGTAGCTTATAACACAAATTATCATTTGTCACTAATGACAAGTTTTGTGAAACGCCCCCCAGTTCGCTATGCCAATGTCTATGAAGTCAAATTATTATAAATCTCATCTCAAAACGACTTACTTGTCCATGAACCACGTCACCGTATCGTGATTCTCCATGTTTTGTGGGTAGAGATATAGGCCTACTATTTCGTTCTGTAAGAAGAACATAAGGAAAGTAATCATATGATTGAGTATATAAATCATATTGATATTAAAAATGGAATCCGGATTTTTTTTTTATTCAGATGGTTTATAGTTGCCATTGCAAATCTACCAAATACTCAAGGTGATTAATTTGTATTAAATAGATGAAATAATAAAATACTGAATATTAGTTGTTTCTTTGGTTGAATTATTGTTATCCAACTATTACAGCACAAAGCCATAGGTATAATGATATTTGATAATTATTCATATTCGTTTATTATGTTTGTATGTATTGTACACATTTGGTAGGACAAACAAAGCTTATATCATATCTTATAATACACCAGTTTACAGTTGTGTGCGCCATTTTAAACAAGGCTAATGACCTAGAGGTCATGTATTTATGCGTAAATTAAGATTGCGCCCATGCAAATTATGATGATATCACTGCCTGCGCGCTGCGTTGTGCGCGCATATCATCATTTGCATGGGCGCAATCTTAATTTACGCATAAATACCAGAGGTCAGAGGTTATTGGCCCCAATTTTGGGGCCAATGACCCGAGGTCAACTGTCTGCTCATGCGCACTGATACAACTGTAAACTGGTGTATACACCAGTTTACAGTTGTGTGCGCCATTTTAAACAAGGCCAATGAACTAGAGGTCATGTATTTAAGCGTAAATTAAGATTGCGCCCATGCAAATTATGATGATCACTGCCTGCGCGCTGCGTTGTGCGCGCATATCATCATTTGCATGGGCGCAATCTTAATTTACGCATAAATACCAGAGGTCAGAGGTCATTGGCCCCGGAACAGGGCCAATTTGGCCCTGTTCCGGGGCCAATGACCCGAGGTCAACTGTCTGCTCATGCGCACTGATACAACTGTAAACTGGTGTATTATGATCGAAGGACGACAGAGAAAAAAAAAACACGCTTATAATAACGAGAAAAAAGGATAACAATGATAACAGCAAATATGAGAATATCTATGTTATTTTAATGATCAGAATTGTTTTTTGACTAAGAAAAGTTAAAGAATTTTCCTATCCTGATGGTTCCAAACCATTGGAGATCGCGTACTAATATTTTCCAATCCAGATGAGCGCCCAGGGGGCGGAGCCTCTGGAAGCTCAGGGGTTTTAGGCAATTAATTACGCGCGGATGAGCATATTTTAATACCTTATTTGTGACAGTGGCTTGCATGTCACTAATTGAGGAGGGGTCCAGGGGGCGGAGTCCCCAGAATGCTCAGGGGCTTTAGGCATTTAATTACGGTCAGATGAGCAACTAGACGCCCGCTTTAGGGCCCGTAGTGGGGTCTAGGGGCAGAGCCCCTAGGAACACAGGGAAAATCATGTCATTTCAGCAACATTTGAAAATCACTGGTATCGAATTAGAAAACAAACACACGTTATAGTTGTGTTTTTTTTTGGGGGGAGGGCGCCCCTCCAAAGTACGCCAGTGCGAGGGAGCATAGTGAACGAGACGTGTGAATGTGACGGAAGTAATCCCCCCTCACTGGCTTTTTAAGTTTTGTCGTATTAACAAATTACATTCACTAACAAAACTATAGTATAAAAACAAGCAATGTACTTTCTTCACATTTTAATTTTCTACAATATTAACTCGTACATTTTGAAGGATATTATGCGAGGGAGCGTAGCTACCAAGCGAGAAGTTCTTTGCATTTTTATTTGTCTAAAGTAGAGATAGGCTGTTTGTACGATACGATTCCTGTCACGTTCTGTATGACTGCTCTTTATTTATTCACGAGAAACTAATACGTCGGGCAGATCTAGGCCACAGTATCTGAACGCCATGGGAACCATACTGGTATCTAATACTCGAATACTCTATTTCTTGCCAACTTGTGGCAAGAAAAAAGTCGTGATTTCCTCCCGCCCCCCCCCCCACTCAGGGTTCGAAATGACCGCATGCGAGTTGCCAAAATGTCCGGTAAAGGGGTACTTTTCGTGCGACAAAGTCCGGCCCGAGAATTGTAAAAAAAGGGGTGTATTTGACTTTTCACCCGGAGATTTCTTTAAAAAGGGGGTGTTTTTTTCTTTTTCTCTCTCATCTCTTTGCACTCCTAAGAAATTATTCCGAATTAAGGGGGGGGGGGGTACATTGACCATTTTTCATGATTTAGGGGGGTCTCCAAGGCAGGAAAAGCCCGCGAAAAGCCCGCGAAAGGGGGGTTCGGAAATGTTGGCAGTCCTCAGATAGGGGGTGCTTTCAAAAAGAGGGAACGAGCATATGCGTACCCTAAATAACACTGAGTGGGGGGCCGGGGATTTCCTTACCCTTTCTACTGTTTTTTTCGATTTTGGTTTCAAAAATGAAAATTATAAATTAAAATCGACCTTCATACAAAATAAAAAACTAAAGAAAATGAAAATGAAAATGACTGTTTATAGGAGTACGCATATTTTGTATATAGATAATAATAATAATAATAATAATAATAATGATAATAATAATAATAATAATAATGAAGCGATCCACGGCGAGACGGCCCGGTGGCCAAAACCGCCCCGCCTAGTACCGACTCAGAAAATGTTAAAGTATAGCTTTAGTTCTTGAAGTGTAGAAAACGAAGATAAATCAAAGTCACTGAAACAAATTCTTGATTGGAGTTGAAGATTTATTAAAATAAACGAAGAATTAATAAATCACGAAGTTCATGTTTTGGGGCTGGGCAACCCAATCGAAACAGATTAGCAACTCATGTCGATCGTAACGGAAGAGAGGTCCCGCTCCAGAGACGCAACTCGGTTTTTATCCCCCCGAACTGACACGCCTCGTCCTTCCAAAAATTGAGGCGTGTCACACAGACGCTTTGCGTAATATCAATCCACTTATAATTAGTTTCCGTATTAAAAGGTCCTATATTTCTTGGCGAATTTACCCCCTCGGATATAGGGCGCTCCGGATGATCCGCATCTCTATTCCTCACATACTTCTTTCACGCACCCACCTGTGTCTCTTACATTCTAATCTCTCAAACAAGAGATGCAAATCACCCGGAGACCCAACAACCCTGGAATATAACAAGGGATAAATGTTGCTATGTCCGTCCACACTAGCGAGCCCACATGCTTCTGGCTATTACACACCTGTAATCCTCACTTCCCCTCTCATACTATTTCGATAGTGTGAACAGACCCGGCAACAAGGAAAAACCCTTCCAATTGTAATACAAATCTATTTCCTAAATTTGCCTAATTAAATTTAAGTCAACTGTGGCGACACGCTGCAGCGACACCTAATCCAATCGGCCAAGCCGAAAAAGTAGAGCCAAAATTAAGAGCGCAACGTCTCGGAACAGGTGTTAAAAATAGCATACAAGGAATTCACCATGTATGTTTGTAAACATAGTTCTAGCGAAATCTACCAGGAATTTGCCTTGTACATGTACGTCAATGAACCTTTGAGGAAAACGTAAACACGAGAATATCCATATCATTACAAACTCCCCTACTGAAACGATCTGTCCCATAAGATCGCAACAAAAAAAAATAGAAATTCTCGTCATATATACGTTCCCCTCCAAGTTACACACACGTACATGGCTGCCCAGCCCTAAAACATCTACAATAACTTCATATACATCATATAAAGCCAACATGGCTTCCAAATTACAATATATAAACACACATATCAAACTGGTAATCCAACTCACAAAAATACCCACTAGTTCAAACATACTTAGAAATATCACCTCCCATTAATGACACCCTTTGCATATTAAAACAGCATGACAATATTTTGCAAGTAAATGCACAACCTTAACGCAATAGTCAATTAAACAAACCCTCAAACTCCAAAATCTTCCTTTTTTTTCCCTCCTCTCTTCATCCACATAATTAACCAATTATGTGGTCCTGCCTAAAGAGGCAATAACAAAATTAAAATTTTAATCCAAAAACCTATTATAAATTCCTCGAGTGTCCTATTCCTGCATGGTTAACAAAAACGCCCAAATTTCCCTACAGCAGACTATGAAACCTACCACTATCATGTCTCCAACTACTTGTAATTATAGCCTGAAACTGTTTGCGAAGCTTAGGGAAGTGTCACAACCCCGGCGGTCAGAGCCGGATACCCCAGACCTCCTCCAACCGGTTGTTGGGACTTCTCCTGCCACTTGTAAACATCCATATGTAATCAGAAATTACTTAAAAATTGAAATATACTAGTGATAATACATGCACATTCTCCGAACACTGGAATAGACAACGATACGTGTAACCGGAAAAATATAAAAATTTGTAATATGCAGACCTATGGAATATACAACCAATCTCAACACGTAATTAGGCAAAAATCACCATAACCATAAATGACCCCAAATAAAATCAGGACGGGTGCCCAGCCCTAAAACAGTAAAAGTTTGATAATTAAAATTATTAACTCCCCAATTTGATGTAAACGACTAATTACCGTGATAATTAACCGTCAATATTACGGTCCCTTCAATAAAAATACGAAATATCCGACTGTTCATAGAATATCTCAAAATTTGTAGATAATCAGCGCAAAACTGATTTTGGTAAATTAAAAGGGTTAGAATGTCTACCCTTAGTTTGTCTTTGCGACCTTCTTGGGATGGCACCATCCTGATTCCCTGGAACATTAACATTATCATCTCCAGCTCGCCCTGCTACATCCTCCCCTACTGGATCTATACCTACTTTATCAAAATTAGGAACCAACATATACTCTCCCCTACTGGATCTATACCTACTTTATCAAAATTAGGAACCAACATATACAACATATATACTAAAAGGCCCTAGATCTTATTAATTCATAGGTCTTATTTCTACCTTGATGTCCCCATTCATCATGACATCCTACCAACACATTCTTACGTAAACATTGAGGAAGTAAAACTTGGAATATCTCCCCAAATACAGGGTCTAGCACTCTTCTTACTAACAAACCATCTTTCAATGAAAGGCGAGACCAATGAGTCAACCATGATTTAACATTATCAGG